TAAGCGTAAGCATTTCGTAAGCAGAAAAAACTAGATATGAAACTCCCGGTATCAGTTACAATGCTCACTATTACGGATCCCACGACGACAGCTCCCGCTGAAGTAATTGTTGCTGCGGAGGTAGCTAAATTACCTATCCGCTATAGACGGAAAAGGCATGCTGTGGCGGACTTAAATAAACCTTAGTTGAAAAAAAAATTATTGGTGGACCAGAAAGAAATTATTGACCTTGATATAACCCTTTTTATATCGGAGTAAATGAAGACTCCTAGAATGGCACGCACGAAGAAGCCTACTCAGAGTAGGAATCCCGCACATTATAAAAAAATTAAAATGGACCTGCAACTACCTTAGACTTTCTTTAAGGAAGATTGCAAATAAGAGCTTATCCTCTAATTGTAATAGTAAGATTAGGATCCCGACTCATCTGTCAATTTTAGGCATATAAGGTAAATACATAGATATAGGTAAACTTACGTATCCTATACCTATACGACTATCCTTTATCTTATGAAAAGGAAAACTACGGGATAGCTATGCCGCAGTCAAAAATACATATTTATGGATATGTACTAAGCCAGCTCTTTAGACTAAGGCATATAAAAAATGGGGTTCGATATAGGGAGTCTTTGCTGTTTACTGTTTACTTTACCTTTACCCAGCTTAAAGAACTGTGCCATAAATTCTTAAGAACTGCTATTTGTAGAGCTTCTATAGCTTCGAGCCCTTTAGTTCGTTATCAAGCAGCTTAGAGGGTGATCGTTGGCCACAAACTTGCAAGAGTCAGCTATTTGTTCACATTCAAGCATTCGTTCCACACGTTCGAGCTAGTCGAATCAGTACTTATTGTTATACCGTTCGTGCCCCTCAGAGCCACTTAACTCGCTTTCAAGAAGAAAAATACTGCTTCCAATTAAGAGACTGAAATGAAAACTTTGAAAGATGTTATGGAGGGTTTCAAATCAGTGCTGGAACTGCTACAATTGCTTTAGCTGGAGCAGCAGTCGGAATTGGAAAGATATTCAGTTGGTTGATCCATTCAGTAGCACGGAGTCCGGAATTGGATACTAAATTGTTTGGTTATGCCATTTTAGGCTTTGCTCTCACGGAAGCCATTTCCTTGTTTGCTCTTATGATGGCCTTTCTGATCTTCTTCGTATTTTGAGATTCGCTACCGTCAGTAGCCTTCCTCCCAAGGCAAGCGAAGTGATGTGAGGCGAGCGTCTGAGTGAGTTGAGTGAGGAAGTGAGGGCCCTGAGGAAGCGGATGGAGCGAAAGCTGGACCGGGTTTCACTGTTGTGGTCGCGTACCCTTTGCACAGTGTTCTCTTCTGACATTTAGACCTCCACTCCCTCTGCCACCATTCAATAGGCTTGACTTTCTAGCTTCTTCTTGCTTGATCTGAGCACGTAAGCCAAGCCTTCACTTACTTATTCGTAGACTTTTCTGGAATCTCCATCTCCTCGTCGCACTTGTCAATCCGCCTTTCAAGAATACCTTGAATAAGAGATCCCTCCATAAAGAAAACCGATGGAACAACCACATCACCCTAATCATGAGGAAATGCGCTATGCTATAATATCACCCAAAGAGCTTCGGCCTTAGCTTTTGCAAAGCTTCTTTTCCTTTTCCTTTTTGCACAACCTCTTTTGTTATAGAGTCCAATCGCGAGAGTCTAAACTTTGTTGCACTGGTCCGAGTTCGCCTGCCTTCGACTTAGTAGGTATGATGGGTGAACCGAACCGAGCCCCTATTAGATTAGACGGAGCTTCGTTGGCTGGAATAAAAGCACAAGAAGTTGCTTTACAAAAGGAGTCCTTAGTATGTGTCAAAACCGTTATAGTACTACTACACCGAAGTCTCGTACTCGAACTGGCAAGAACGGCCCAGCTTGCTGGCTGACTATTACCTGCTTACTTACTGGCTGACTTGGCAGCTGCCTTGAAAGCCTATTCCGATGGCGAGCAGTTACGATGGCTCCTTCCTAAATAAGTTATCTAAAAGTCAGTCTTTCTTTTTGTTTTCAACGATCTAGTGCTTGGTCCTTCACCATTATGAGTAGGACTGACTTCCCTTACATAGGTCTTATGTTCAGTACTTCGTATCAGGTTCGATCTATGGGACCTTAACGATAATTTTTTTGTTCTTTCTGAAAAAACCTAAGAGGTCTGTGACTGACCCTGTGTTCAGCACATGAGTTAGCGTTACCACGTATTTAGTGGAAGCGGATAGTTAGGGACTGACCTGATACCACTTTGAGTTACTGCCCCGAAGTACTAGACCAACTCCTGTTGAAGAATAAGGCTTTTGAGCTGCCTGAGCATTGAATTTGGAACACAGGCCAAACGAAGTCGTATTGAGGACCCTAAGTAGTACTGTCAAAAACATCGGTACGTACAACATCCCCTTTCAAATTGCTGGACCTTCACGAACTTGCTGGAAACGGAGTACCGTGCCGGCAGGATTCCTATAAAGAAAGCCGCACAGAAAGATAAGACTACTTGGAATTCGATGGGAATCCACAAAGACAGCGTAGGAGATATCGCCCATTATACTACAATATGGTGAGCATAGCCATGTTTGATGAAAGAGCCACCTGCTGACCTGGTGTTGACGAACAAGTTCCGGAAGCATGCGAACAAGACTTGGGATCGCGGCTCGTACCAGGAAAGCCACATAAATCAAAGAAGGCGCACGAAGGAAGGCAGTAGAACTAGCTTGATAATTTGTTCCGAGGAATGCAAAATAGCTGGACCTCTTATTGAAGGGGGCTCTAACATCATTCTATTATTTCACCCCAGATTAATGATTAATGAATAGCACAGAAGGCCACTCGCGCCACAGAAGTGGTATATAAGTGGTTATCCTTTGCAGAGTGGTAGTACGACACTACTTATCATACCACAATGAAAATGACCCCATTTTAATTGAATCCCTCTATCGCTATGCTCCAACACTTATACCTATGCCCCAGCCTAAAGGTTCCAATGTTGCCTCGGCAGAGAGTCATCTCAGGGAGCAGTCGACTGTCATACAAATTTCGAAGGACAGTCAAGGGCACAAGTTAGAATGAAGCAATATGAGGATCAACATAGAAGTGAGAGGGAATTTTCAGTTGGAGATTGGGTTTTCTTGCGATTCCAGCCCTATACTATAGGCTTTTCCATAGCTGCTAGACAAAAAGACCCAGCAAGCATCAGCTCTTCGTGAGAAGGATTCAATCCAGCCCCTAGGACTTCGTTTTCCGCTCATAAATAAGCTCTTCGCCACGACATATTTTGACTCTGATCTTCGCTTCCTTCATTCGGTTTCTGGTTCTTGGCTGAACCAGTAGGTTGGAAACCTTCAAAGCAATATGTTGCATTTACGCTCAAATACAAATGAAATTCGTGCTCAGTTCAAGTCAGCAGGATCTATCTCTTATGCAAGGTTTATTGATGAAGGTTACCTATTATTTATTGTAAATCTATATTTTTTTATATAAAGTAAAAAAGGGCGCTCTCGTGCAATGCAATCTAAACAAGACAAACTTACAGAATCAAAGAACCTAACAAATGTAGGCGGAATACACTCATGATCTGCTTCACAAATGGGAGATTGGGTCGAAATCTATTTGTGAGATTAGGGATCGGCATATATTGTCATAAGAATAAACATAAGTGAGGAGACCTGATTCAAATTAAAAAAGAACCTCTAGGAAGGTACCCTCGGCCGCCTATGACGGAGGACTTTTTTCCTCTTCTCTTAAGAATTTATCTGATAGGAACAAGCTAAACAAAAAGAAAAGGGGCTGTTTTTCGTCGGAATAGGGGCCTGTTGACACAATCCCATTTCTTTCTCCCTATTTTTCCCATGTATTTCTTGGAAAAACCAAGGCAATTGAATTGAATTAGCAAGTCTCCAGACTGATTTACTGGAGCAGGAGAAGTCATATCACTGAATCAATCATGCCTCAACTAGATCAATTCACTTATTTCACACAATTCTTCTGGTCATGCCTTTTCCTCTTTACTTTCTATATTGCCATATGCAATGATGGAGATGGACTACTTGGGATCAGCAGAATTCTAAAAAACTACGTAACCAACTGCCTTCACACCGTACGAACAACATCTGGAGCAAGGAGCCCAACAGTTTGGAAGATATCTTGAGAAAAGGTTTTAGCACCGGTCTATCCTATATGTACTCCAGTTTATTCAAAGTCTCCCAATGGTGTAAGGTCGTCGACTTATTGGTAAAAAGGAGGAAGATCACTTTGATCTCTTGTTTCGGAGAAATCAGTGGCTCACGAGGAATGGAAAGGAACATCTTCTATTTGATCTCGAAGTCCTCATATAGCACTTCTTCCAATCTTGGATGGGGGATCACTTGTAGGAATGACATAATGCTAATCCATGTTCCACACGGCCAAGGAAGCATCGGTTTTTAATCTCATTATGACTTGGTCGTTTAGAAGAGATTCTTTCTCGATCAGAATAGTGGAATGGAAGGCACTACAAGAAAGATATACTCCTTTTCAAATCGCCCCGCGAAGACAGACGTTCAGAAAGGTTCTCGAGATTCTCAATCGCTCTTTTTTTAGTGGGGAGGAATAGTACGGGAAGGGAGCGAGACCAAGCCGAGCCTCTAGTAGAGGAAGCCCTTCCCACGTGCAAAAATGAATTGCAGCCTCAACCATAGAGATCAACCTGCGCCTTTGATGTTAGGCCCCGACGGAAAGTTTTCCGAAACCGAAATGAATGGAATTGTTACTTTCAAAAAATGCTTTCTGAAAAGAAAGAAGATCCATTTTCCCACGTAGTGCGTCAGTCAAACCAACAATTCTCATCTCAAAGTAATAGGGAGATCCTTTTCTAGTTAGACTTCTTGCAATGAAAGAACCATCCCTTCCTATTTGTTTGTCCTGTCAGATAGAAAGAGAGACCCCAAAGAGCCTTCTTTACCACTTTAGGGGGCGGGGGTGAAGGGGGGGTTTACATGCAACCGAGGCAAAGTTGTTTATGATTGAATCTCAGAGGCACTCTTATCGTTTGGTAGATCCAAGTCCATGGCCTATTTCGGGTTCACTCGGAGCTTTGGCAACCACCGTAGGAGGTGTGATGTACATGCACTCATTTCAAGGGGGTGCAACACTTCTCAGTTTGGGCCTAATCTTTATCCTATATACCATGTTCGTATGGTGGCACGATGTTCTACGTGAATCCACATTGGAAGGACATCATACCAAAGTCGTACAATTAGGACCTCGATATGGGTTTATTCTGTTTATCGTTTTGGAGGTTATGTTCCTTTTTGCTCTTTTTCGGGCTTCTTCTCAATCTTCTTTGGCACCTACGGTACAGATCGGAGGTATTTGGCCCCCAAAAGGGATTGCGGTTTTAGATCCTCGGGAAATCCCTTTTCTTAATACTCTTATTCCCCTTTCATCCGGAGCTGCCGTAACTTGGGCTCATCATGCTATACTCGCGGGGAAGGAAAAACGAGCAGTTTACGCTTTAGTAGCTACCGTTTCACTGGCTCTAGTATTCACCGCCTTTCAAGGAATGGAATATTATCAAGCGCCCCCACAATTTCGGATAGTATTTATGGTTCTACCTTTTTCTTAGCAACTGGCTTTCATGGTTTTCATGTGATTATATGTACTCTTTTCTCGATCATATGTGGTATTCGCCAATATCTTGGTCACCTGACCAAGGAGCATCACGTTGGCTTTGAAGCAGCTGCATGGTACTGGCATTTTGTAGACGTGGTTCAGTTATTCCCATTTGTCTCTATCTATTGGTGGGGAGGTATATGAAGGAACGAATCAGTGGATTGAAGAATTTAAGCTCGAAGACAAAGAGAAGCAGGCTTTTCCAAAGAATTACTGCAGCTTTCCCACTCCCTTTGATTATCATATAAAAAAAAGTATCTTCCACTTTCCTACCAAATCTCTCTTTATTCTGGCACATAAATGAAGGGATCGAAGACATTATGGCAGATCATGTTCACCAAGAAATGACCCGAAATTAGATAGATCTTGGTCTATTTTAGATTGTTCCTTTTAATCGTAATCAAAGATGTTTTCTTGTCTCTCGTTTCTTTTCTGAACAAATAGAAGAACCTAATGGATCGAACTCATCCTTGGCTGCTACGAAAGCAAATAGGCCTTGCGTTGCGGAAGGAACGTTCTGCTCTGAGTTGAAGGCAAGAGCTCCTTCCCTCCCTTCCTTATCGACATTAGCTGTATCCTATATCTCCCCATATCGTATTTAACTAGACCCCATCCCTCGCTTTGACTGTTCACCATATGTGTATCGTACCGACCCCATATCATACATACAAGAATTGATTCCTTCTCCCCATATCACTCATTCACATGACATCTCATTGTTCACCCGGAAAATCTTCTTGTTTAAGACAAATTGCTTCCCTCAGTCAGCGGGAGGCCTAGTCGATGTAGGCCCTCAAACCAAACGGCGGCCAGACCAGTCGAAGGAGTAGTTCACTTACCTATTTGTACATGTACTATACTCATACCCATATTACGATACAGATGTGTTCACCCTATCTTGCTTTCACGGCTTTGACCGGGAACCAAACCAAAGAGCCAATACACCAACAACCAAGGAACGGGAGTGGGTGGTCCCTAGGAACGGCAGAAAGGAAGTACTGGTTCAACCAGATACGAGTGACGAAACCGGTGTTGATCAAAGACATGCGCCGAGTGCCAGAAATGACTATAAGCCGATAGAGTCGTTTTAACATGCCATGAACCGAGATACAATTTTACTAGTGCCAGGTTCAAGAAAGAGTTACTAAAACCATTACGAATGACAAGTGACGAAAGCAAGAAAGCAAGAAAGAGTTACTAAAACCATTACGAATGACAAGTACACACAAGAATGACTCGATCGAGTCCCGAGAGACAGATAGAGCTTAACTAAAACGTCTGCCCGGTCATCCTTCCGCATCATCATCCGGCGATGAGAGGGATGATACGAGGATACCCTGATCGATTGAGGGAGACTGGTACAGGCAACAATTCGGGTGGCTTTGGAATACCTCCGTAAGCGGGATGAAGAACACTGTTTTAGATACAGTGATGTGAATCAAAATACCGACTTCCGTACTAGCCTGACCACCTGTTTTGAGAACAAGTAAGCTCCAATGCATGCTTCCTTAGTCAAACTATCATGAGTTATAAGGATCATACGATTTAATTATGACCTTGACGAAAATCTTCCAATGTCGATCCTAATGCTACAGTTGCTAGCCTCAAAAAAATCTTTGTACCCTCATGGATACGGTCCTGAGGCTTCTGAATGATAGAATTAGAGGGTCCCTTTCGGATGTGCAAATTGAGGTTGGTAGGATATAGGCGTTAGGCTCTTTCGATGGCACTGAAAGGCCTGTTATTGTACTCTTTCGTATATAGTTGTCAAAGACACTGGAGAGAACTAGTCTCTCGGGCTAGGGGCTCTCTATCTATATACAAAAAACTGGATTTATAGCGAGCTTGTACTATTAGAACAAGGGCATAGTTTAGGGACACTCACGTCTTTTTTTACAAGTAAACTTCTCTCTATATTCAAGGACTCACGATTATGCAACGAAGTCTCCTATTCGGTGATATTCACATTGATTCTGGAATAACCTATCATATGCGGCCTCTGCTGCTGTTCACAAGTACAAGATGAGGATCAGCAACATGTATTACCAGAGTATCATAGCTTATTACAGAGACGACGTTCACGTTCACCTTTTCCTTCGGTGTGAACTTGCAGGAAGTGTTGTATACTTTAAGAAGAGAGATCTATTCTACTTCTTTATTCTATCAAACCTGAAAATGAGGCCTCCGGTAAACAAGCTATAAAAATGAATATCGCTCTCTCTAGCTAACCTGGAAAAATTTCTACCTTTGCGGAGCTGGAGCCGAAACTCTTCCTTTCTTCCTCCCTTGTTCTAATTAACCCAAGGCCTCCTCGGTCTTCTTGGACGTGGTTTCTGTCTGATTTAACCCGCACTGCTAATGTAGGCTTTTTGGGGGTAATGCATCGGCACACTATTCGTCTAAATAAGTTATCTTTCGTCTTCCAATAGTTCTGACCCGAAAAGTGAGCCCCGAAAACTGTCAACCTATGACCAACTCAAATTAGAGTAGCTGGATAGTAGAAGGTAGGATTCCTATATTCTATAGCCTATGTGCCTGCTTCTGATGAGATAAATAGGCTCCCGGTGCGTCTTCCTTCGGTCGGCTTATCATCGAAGATGTTAGCCAAATCAGGAACTATAGGCTCGAAGGCTCGGGTTGGTCAAGCGAACTGATTCATTTAATTCTTCTGCCTAGTCTTACACCCGCACAGTAGAGGGGAATAAGCATTCCCTTTCCGACAAAACTAAGCGTCTTGCCGCTGGGTAAAGGCAATAAGAGGAGGTTTGGAACCCCAAAACAAGTCTAGGCTTAAGAACGGTGATGCTAATTCAGTTGTTGACAAAAATGTCCCGATGAACCTTGGGAGCATCCCGGGCAGAATCTAGGGCTTCAGCTGCGGCTAAGCGAACTACCTATTATATATATTCTATAGAAGTGAAATGAGAGAAAAAGCTCTTCTTTCACATAGTGGGAGGCTGGCCTTCTCTCCTTCCCAATTCTCCCCCAATGAGACTCTTTCACTCACTTAGTGGACGACCCAGAGACTTTAATAAAGCCCCTTTTGCCTCATCACGATCTCCCTTGAAGTAGAGGCTCCCTCCTATTACTATTTTTCTGGGGTGGAGTCGAAGCTATGGCACCAGAAAGTCAAAGAGATTCCGTCCCGAACCACTCGTGTAGTCTTCTCCTCTCCTGCCTGCTCCTCCCGTTTAGGCCCTATCTCGCTTCCAAGTCTCATGGATGAGGCGCCGACGCTACTAAATGCAACTCTCATTTCAACATTCTTCTCTATTGGCCCTTCCTTCTCTATCTTCCTAGAGAACCTCTCTTTCCCTACAAGGCACTAGAAAGGTCGACCCCACTTTCCACACTA